GGGGCCCCCCCCCCCCCCATTCCTGGAGCATTGTATAAAATCACCCGTTGTTGCTGGAATCATGGCAGGTTGCACTGATGTCTCAAAAAGTGCTTAGAAGGAATGAAGAATTGGGAAGAAAAGAGTACGTCAAGTCAAAGGAGGAAGCTTGCTGCCTCATGTTTGTCTGTAGTTTCTGATGTTTCAGCTTAAACTGAAAAAAATTCTTTTGTGCACAAGTAGGTTCATGTCACCTAATTAAGGTAAGCCAACTGGAATCTGCTTCTGTTGGTTATTTTAAGCAAAAGGAAAGAGAGATTTGGTGAGTTTCTTATGAGTCAGGTAATTTATCTGTCCTGCAGATAGTGTTGCAGAAATGTCAAGTAGACATACCGTAATTATCTGACACGGGAGTGAAAAAATAAGTCATATAAGTGGCATTCTAGCAAGACTTAATGCAGAACCGCAGCTCAGATACCACATTCAGCTTATTGATAGATCCTAATGGCAGTAAACAAAGAGCAGACAGTATGTGACAGTAAATTTACTTGCTTTCGATGGTAACTTTCAGCCTTTAGCAAAGGGTGACTGTGCTCCAGCGTTGTTAGTATGTAGTTGTCTCATGAATGCAAAATACTCGGACTGTGAGTCCATGCCTGATTTCTACAGATTTAGTGTTGATGAGCGGTGTTGAAAAGCAAGCTGTTTTTTCCTTCAGGCTCTTTTCAGACATAGTCTCTGTTTCTTGCTGTAAAACATCAATAATGCATCATTCATACTGGGCTCTGTAGGAGGGGAAGACTGGTGTGATAAATATCACAGAGGTTTGATATTCCAGCAAAACTGCTAATGATATTCACTAACGAAGGCTTATGATTTGCAAAAGTACTGCTGGGAAGGTCCTCCTGCCTGCTTTTTTATATAAATCTATATATAGCTCATATGTTTTCAGTTATTAAAATTCCAAGCTATTAAAAATAAAGGAGGATCCTGTGGTTAGGGGACTAGACTAGAACCTGGGAGAACTTGAGGTGTGTCTGTACTGTAGATATATTGTACCTGATGGTGGCATGCTCAAACGTGCTGTTCCACCAGGGTTGCCTTGGATAGCTGTATTGGAGCAGTCTGATTAGCACTGCCCTTCATCTGCGTGATTTAGAGGGGTCTCCCAGCTGTGCCAGTTAGCCTCCCCTTGGCACTTTGCAGACAAGACTCTGTGGTTCAAGGTCCAGCGGTACCCTGCATGGAGAGGTGCAGTGTGTTTGAGGGCACCGCTGGCACAGTAAGTGCAGGCATGGTTTTGAGCTGTTGTTGACTGAGGGCCATTTTTAATCTTTATTTTTAAAGCATAGCTCCCAGTGACTTCAACTGGAGATGGAAATACCAATACCATTTTAAAATCTGACCCTTAGTCTGCTTGCTGTCTCACTTTCTCATCTAGAAAGTAGGAGTAACCACACTCCTCTTCCTCACAGGGGTGTTTTGTGTATAAATTCATCACAATGTTGTGAGGCACTCAGCTGCTGTGGACATGGGGGGCCATGTAAGAGCTGTAAGTGTGTATTAACTCATATTTCCAGAGCACCTTGAAGATGAAACAGGGGTTTTAGTTTTAATGATGACTACATGTGACAGTCAATTGATTGTGATGGCGGAGGCAGTCATGCACAACCCTTACACACCCAGGGTGTGGTGCACTGCTGCTACTACCCCCGTTCTCTGTGGGGATAACTCCATTGATTGAAATGGATTCATACCTGTGGAAAACCACAGTGAGTTGTGCTTACTTGCTCCTCCTTATTTAGGGGAAATTCACCAGCAAAGTACCTGCACCCACCCCTCCTCTTCTACCTTCTCCCTACCCACCCTGCCTCCCAACAAATCCAGGTGCATGTTGTGTGCTAGGCTCCATCCCGGAGCCTCATGCTTGTGCTGTTTGAAAAGGTGCTGGGTTTGACTACTCTGAAAGCTATCCTTAATGTCTGCATAGATAGCATATTGTGAATGTGATGGCTGCTGCTTGGGAAAGGCAGCTGATCCAAAATGGCAGATGAGCCTGGCAGTGGCATTGAAGCTTCTTGGTGAGAAGACGGGTTCCTTGCACTTTCTCTGGCCTGGTTTTGACCTCGGAGAGGAGTCCTGGCCACTCTGTTTTTGAAGAGTCCTTTACGTGCTTTGCTGCACGAGCTCTGGTTGATCACGAGGGAACTGTCTGAAGAATCGGACAAAGGTTGTCTTCTGTGAAACATGGATGTGGTTGGCAGTGAAGTTAAGTCAAGCTTGTTTTTTTTGTCACCTGCATTCTGCTTTGAGCATATTTCTCATTTGCATCTGATGGACTCAGTAGTGCTAGTGAGACCCAGTAAATTGTGCAGAGGATTCCTTCCCCTTCGTTCGCATTGACTAGTATCTCACTCTGCAGATAATCCTACTTCTCTTGGAGCCGCATGCTACACAGGTGTAGGAAAGGGTAGCAGAATCTCACCCTGGAAAAGTGTCTGGTGGCTTTTGCATGCTCATATGTGCATTATTTTGTATTATGATACTGCTTGTAAGTCTCAGCTGTGACCCCATCACCATTGTGCTAGGTGCTGTATGCACATATGCTTGAAGATGCCTTCCTTCACATGTTTACAATGTAATGGGCCAGACAGACTCAGGGAAACTGAGGTACAGAGCAGAGAATGATGTGGCAAGGTGACACAGCAGCTCAGTGGCAGAACGAACACATGTCTCCTGGGCCCAGTCACTTAGCCTGTACTGTCCCCATGATATATGGACACAGGTTTTGGATCCAAATTTCAGACTTTGAAATTTAAAAAATAAGGCAAACTAAAAGGCTTACTAAAAAAAACAAAAAAGGGAGGGGGGTGGGCAATAAGGGTTACGTTGCCAGGTAAAATCTGCAGAGGAGCCATTCGTTAATGGAATGAAAATACCCAGTCATTTATAGAAGGTTCTTTTGGGCTAAACAAATATGTTATGTACTAATACAAAACAATATTATATTCTTGATATCTGTTATGCAACCTGCATCTTAATATACTTTGCAAAACCAATGGTACTCTGACCGAGGTAAGTAATAGCAAAGAGAAAGATGGAGGGGTAAATGTAAGGGAGAAAAAATATGCTACAGAATCATAAGAATACATTCTATATATTTATCTAGCTCTCCTCCTTCTGACTGTTCCCAAATGTTGTTACA